ATTTTGTATTGCCCGTGTATTGGAGTTGTGGCCCACCTCCTAGTCTTGTATAGTTGAGGTAGAGGCCTTCCCTTGTATTATATATACGTGCATCAGCACTTATCAATACAACTATCATTGTATTGGCAAAACATCTCTTCTACAGAATGCATATGGTAATGCCGAAAATGGCGATAGAAATAGTTTGAGCGAAACTCACAATGTTCCACTCTGGCGTCGGCATCTCTGGCACTGGTTGGCCTTGCATGGAATAAAGATTGGCCACCATATATTGTAAAGACTTCACTACATCATCTTGTGCCTTTAGCTTGGCCCGGTTTTCATCTCGTTTTTTCCCGGTGTCAATCAGTCGAGTCTACAATATGGCAATGCAAATGTCATTCATGTTGAAATGCAAATATCCTCAATAATAAAGAATGATTAATGAAGAAGGACCATGAAGGATCAATGAAGAAGCACTGACCTGAATATCCTCAATAATGCTCACGGAATATGGTACGTGACGCTCTACGGTAGGAGTAGAGCCAGTACTCATAGCACGGAGCGTGTTGACTCTCGGAAGGGAGAAGATTATGACAGAATCGAGGTGAACCGCCATCCGGCCATTCGGTCTATCGCCTGCCGCGGCAATGGCCACAAGAGGATCAAACGGTAGCACATGAGGATCAGCGTCAGGCCCGTACGTCTCCTTCAATTTTTTGGTGTAGTTCTCTCCATCTGGCCGGGCTTTAGAACTGATCCAGTCCATCTTTACCGAGTGTCCGTGTTTTAGCACTCGGCGAAGAGCATTACACCCGGCGTAGCTCAGAATTCCAGTAGTGCGAAGAAGCTGCATGAAAGAGTTAGGATGTAATGTAATGACGACGGTGAATCGTTCGAGCTACACCCGGCCAGAGACGAAGAAGATGAAGACCAAAACCAAGGAAGATGTGTGTGACATGGTGAGGTCAATGGTCAATACCGGTCCACGTAGTACAAAACCATTCGTTTGAACAAACTTGCCTGATTTGTAATACGAGGGGCTAAATGTCGAAAAATGATTAGGGAATAAACGTATACTTTGCGTAAATAGGGACTAAAAATAGATTCCCTCAATATAAAGGGGCTTCAATTTTCATAAAAATCATATATACGGGAACAAGATTTGTATAATAACGTCATCAGGAAAATTCAGTTAGTACCATTCATCGGCAAGACGAACGCCTCGTGAAGTATCTCCGAGTTCACGCCACTCTTTCCAGGAGCCTCACGCGTCTCGTCTCCAAAACTAGTTCAGGGGTCCTTGCATCCCGCTGGCACCGCCGATTGTTCGCCTCGCCTCCGGTGACCTTAGAGTCATGGGAATGCGATTCATCACGGCCGTTGTAAGCGTGAGGGCTCCGTTTTTAGATCTTTCTTCGAGTTTTGTTAGGATTTGTGTCCTGTTAAGAAAAGACGGCGGTTCCTGAAGATGGAATAAAGTTCTCCCACTTAGCCCTCGTCTCGTTGATGCGTCTAGCATCGTCAGTGGGCATGTGGATGCATGTCTTCGGCGATTCTGTTTTTGGTGAATTTGCCCGGATCTGATCATCGTTCGTCTATATTCGTGTGGCTTCAGGTTAAACGATCTATGCTACACTTTATCGGCGGCGGTTGCTATTCTAGTGCATTGGTTCTATGGAGTCTTAACACGACGACTTTCGGTTGTCTACTACAACAAGTTTTGCACGGCTCCGGAGAGGAAGGGGGGATGACGACGGCGTGCTTTCGGCTCGCTTTAGTGCTTGTAATCGTTACTAGGTGCTCTACGAATCTGATTGTAATTTTATTATTTCTGATGGTAGTTGTACTGTAATGAGTAAAGATGAATGGAATGATTAAAGATGAATGAATCGAAAAATTTCGGGGAAAAAAAGAGTTCACGGCACTGGACGCACAAACCATCGGCGCCCACAAGATTTGCAACCAGCGTAAACGGGAACAGGCGAACAGCCATAGTTTAACCAGTCCAAGGCCCAACCACCTCACCTCGCTATCTACAAAGTCCGGCACGCATGCAAGAGCTAGCAAGACTCCGGTGAGAAAGTGCAACCAGCGGCGGCAGGATCAGCCAAGAAATGTGTGGGGGTGCCATCTTCGCGAACCTCACCCCCAACCGGGTGCGCCTGCGGCTGACGGCAGCCCAGCTATGGCCGGACGCGTACTTCCCGGCGGAGAGGGCGGCCTCCGGCAGGAGGAAGAGGAGGGCCGCTGCCACGACCGACGACGAATTCGAGGCAGAGTTCCAAGTTTTTGCGGAGGAGGAGGAGGACGACGACGACTATGCGGCTCCTCCGGCGGCGGCGTGTGCAGCCGTTGCTTTGAGCTCCAGGCGGCGCCGCGTAGCCGGTGCCAACAGCACCAAGTACAGACGCGTACGCCGCCGGCCGTGGCGCAGATGGGCGGCAGCAGACACCCAGCAGCGGCGTCGCGTGCGGCTCGGCACGTACGGCGGCGACGCCGAGGAGGCCGCTCCATCGTATGACTGCGAAGCCCGCCGGATGCGCGGGAAGAGCGCCAGGCTCGACTCCCCGAACGAAGGCTGTTCTGGCCGGCGAAGCCTGCCGGGGATCATCGACCTCAACCAGCCGCCCGCCGTTTCCGATGACCACATGATTAGTGCCGATGCAGACGCGTGCAAGACGAAGATCATGCAGCTGATCGCGGAGGGCCCCCGCGACGAGCGGATGGCGAGCCTCGTGTCTGAGCTGATGGACGGAGCGCACCAAGGGAGGGAAACCAGAGCGTCCGTGGTGATGCGGTGTGCGGCGTTGATTTCCAGATGCAGCCGCGAGATGGAAGAGATTGCTGCGCTGAGGAGGGACCTCGAGAACCGCGCGAGGCGGCTGGATGAGCGGAAAGATCAACTCGTTAGGATAGCTTCCTTTCTGAGTTCTGAACTCCTGATTAACTGATATCATCGATTCATCGGCATGTTTGAGCCTGTTTGTTCGTGAAACTCTGCTGACCATATGAACACATATACGGACCCTACGAACAGTGATACCCCATCTGTTCCTAAATATTTGTCTTTTTAAAGATTTCAAATGAACTACCGCATATGAATGTATATAGGCATATTTTAAAATGTAGATCTACTCATTTTACTTCGTATGTAGTCACTTGCTGAAATCTCTGGAAAGATAAATATTTAAAAACGAAGGGAGTATTAAAAAACGGTTCTGCTATTTCTCAGTCGACTGAGAAATAGAAGTCTCTGTCGACTGTTTTACCCTTCAGCCTGTGTAACGCTCTTTGTCCAGCCCGTTTGACTTTTTTCCTTTGCCCCATCGGCCTTGGTTATGTAGGGGTTAGGTAATGTTTCTTGAGCTTAGTACGCACGTGGTCGATGGACGATGGGTCTTTTTCTCGTTTTTTTTGTGGCGCGATTCAGAGGGGAACGGGTAGATATGTGCGCTCCCGTCGGTGGGCGACGCTGCTGGTGAGTAATTTATCTCCGTTATTATCCGCTTTTTTTTGGAACGTTTACCTCTGGACGACCGGCCAAGCACTCGGCCAGTTGCCCCTGGCTCGCTCGCTCTGTCACGTGGGAACAGACTGACACATGTGTCGGGTGGGCCTGCAGCTTATCTCTTCCCTGCTGTACTTTCTTTTTCTTTTCTCTGGGGAAAGCGTTTGGAGCCGGCATGCCGGCTGAAGTTTCGGCCAGACGCACACGTATCGTTCGATGCCTCGCGATCTCTCGACTCACATGTGCCATGTCCCTCGCTAGTTTCTCTCCCACGCGTCCCTTCTGGGCCCGCAAATTGTGCCACATCTTCTTCCTTATCTCTTCAGTCAGTCAACGCCACACATCACTTCCCCCAAATCGGAATAAACTTGCGCTTCTCCGGCGAGCGTCCTCCCTCGTCCCGCCCCGCACTGCATCGGCGAACGGCCATCTCTACCCATCCCCCCCCCCTCCCGCTGTTCCGGTGAGTGCCGCCCTCCTTCGGTGCGGTCGTGCAAGGAGGTGTTACAACCATGGCAGCAAGTGCTACAATCCACGACGGCAGTGCTACAACGGCGGCGAGTAAGGGCGAAGCGTATGCTGCAACCATGCCTAACGAGCTGCAACCAGCACGACGCGAGCTGTGAATCGGCGCGACTAGCTGCTACAAGTGGCAAGGTGGATCTCAACGACGAGCTTCAACCGGAGGTGACCAATGCTGCAACCAGTGTGGATTTATGCTGGAACCGGCCGGCAAAAAAGCTACGTCAACATGATGCGGACGACCAGCCCAGCCAATTTGCTGCAACCGCCTTTCTTTGCTACATCTGGTAAGTTTTTTTGCTGGAACGTAGAGATGTATTTTTGTTGCGACCGCCAGCGGCGAGACATGATTTTTTGGGCGGTGGCAAGTGAGGGAGTCCTGAATTAGGGGGTATCCGGACAGCCGGACTGTATACATCGTCCGGACTATTGAAGCGTGAAGATACAAGACACAAGACTCCGGCCCGTGTCCGGATGGGACTCTCCTTTGCGTGGAAGACAAGCTTGGCGATCCGGATATTATATTTCCTTCCTTGTAACTGACTCCATGTAAACTCTAGCCCTCTCCGGTGTCTATATAAACCGGAGAGGATGGTCCTTAGAAGGTCGATCACAATTACAATCATACCATCATAGGCTAGCTCTTAGGGTTTAGCCTCTACGATCTCGTGGTAGATCTACTCTTGTACTACTCATATCTTCAATATTAATCAAGCAGGAAGTAGGGTTTTACCTCCATCGAGAGGGCCCGAACCTAGGTAAATATTGTGTCCCTTGCTTCCTGTTACCATCAGCCTAAGACGCACAGATCGGGACCCCCTACCCGAGATCCGCCGGTTTTGACACCGACATTGGTGCTTTCATTGAGAGTTCCTCTGTGTCGCCGCTTCGAGGCTTGATGGCGTCTTCAATCGTCAACAACATGGTTCAGGGTGAGACTTTTCTCCCCGGACAGATCTTTGTGTTCGGCGGCTTCGCACTGCGGGCCAATTCGCTTGGCCATCTGGAGCAGATCGACAGCTACGCCCCTAGCCACCAGATCAGGTTCGGAAACTTGAACTACATGGCGGATATTCGCGGAGACTTGATCTTCGACGGATTCGGCCCTGTGCCAGGAGCGCTGGACAGTCACGACGAGCACGGCCTATACCTGCTGTCGGACAATGCTCAGGACATCATCCCTGCAGCAGCCCCGGATCTAAATCCGGAGCAGGTTGCATTGCCTAAACACGGAGGGGTAGGCCCCGCCCCGTAGGCCGCATATTCATCGGCGGTGGAGCCGAACACAGGTCTCACCTCTATGGAGGCCTGTAACCCCGGCCCCCCGGACTTGTATCCGGTTGTTGGTTCCGGTCCGCATACCTTCGAGTCAGACAAACCAGGTTGTGCTCCGGTAATGGAGTTTACCGCTGCGGACATCTTCCAGCACTCGCCCTATGGCGACATGCTGAACTCATTAAAGTCTCTCTCTTTGTCAAGAGGCTCTGGGCCGAACTATGTCTGGCCTGAGTGGGAAGCAGACGACGAAGGGATTCATTGCCCACCCACCACCCACTTCATTGCCACGATCGATGATTTAACGGACGTTCTTGACTTCGACTCTGAAGATATCGACGGTATGGACGACGATGCAGGAGAAGCTCCAGAATCTTTGGGGCGCGGGACTACTACCTTGTCACACGATATATACATGGTGGATACGCCCAAGAAGGACGACAGCAATAATCCAGAAGATAAAACACCCGGACAAAAGCCAAAACGATGGCGCAGACGCCGCTTAAAGTCCAGCAACAGTAAAAACAACGAAAAGAGTGCAAGAAGGACTGACATACCAGAAGGCAGTAATGACCACACGGACCCAGCGATGGAGCAGGACGAGCCAGGTCACGCCAAACCAAGTTCGGAGCAAATATCCGATCACAATGATCCAGAGGAACGAGCTCATGAAACCGCCACAGGACAGGAACACAGTTCGGACGATGATGCATTCATCATCCCGGACGAACAAGTGGAACGAGACAACCTCCACTGAAAGCTTATGGCCACAGCAAGAAGTCTAAAGAAGCAGAAACAACAGCTTAAAGCCACACAGGAAAAGCTCAGTCGCAGATGGAACAAAGTGCTAGACACTGAAGAAAGATATGGCGACGATCGCCATACCAAAAGCTATCCAAAGCGCAAGCTACTGCCAGAATTCGATGACGAGGCCATTCCACCAAAGAATAATACAACCAGGAGACCAGACGTATCGCTTCACAACCACAACAGAGCGGCTACTGGCACCATGCACAATCTACGTGAGAAGCTGGATAAGAAGGCCGGTGCAGCCAGGGCCTTCTACGGATCTAAAGGACACACCCCGGCGAGGGACTATGGTCACCCAAACGCTAATACAAGACAAATACCAGTTCGGAATAAACTCCGGACACAACAACAGCCGACTACATGCCACGGCGCGTCCAGATACAGAGGGGCTGCTCACCCCCTGTGCTTCATCGAAGAAGGACTGGACCATGAATTCCCACAAGGTTTTAAACCTGTGAACATAGAGGCATATGACGGAACAACAGACCCAGGGGTCTGGATCGAGGATTTTATCCTGCATATTCACATGGCTCGTGGGGATGATCTCCACGCCATCAAATACCTTCCCCTCAAGCTGAAGGGACCAGCTCGACACTGGTTGAAAAGCCTCCCCGAAAACTCAATTGGGAGTTGGGAGGAACTCGAAGACGCTTTCAGGGCCAATTTTCAAGGGACTTATGTCCGGCCTCCGGATGCAGACGATCTAAGTCACATAATCCAACAGCCCGGAGAGTCCGCCCGCAAGCTTTGGAACATATTCCTCACTAAGAAGAATCAAATTGTCGATTGTCCGAATGCCGAAGCCTTAGCGGCATTCAAACACAACATCCGTGACGAATGGCTCGCCAGACACCAAGGCCAAGAAAAGCCAAGGACAATGGCAGCCCTAACAAGCCTTATGACCCGCTTTTGCGCGGGTGAAGACAACTGGTTAGCCCGTAAAGGCACCAACGATCCCAACACATCCGAAATAAGGGATGACAACGGGAAGCCACGGCGTAATAAACACAAACGCCAAAATAAGGAAGAGAGCCCGGATAACACAACAGTTAATTCTGGATTCAGGGGCTCTCGACCTGATCATCAAAAGAAGCCATTTAAAGGCAGTAAAGAGGGACCGTCCGGTCTGAACAGAGTCTTGGACAGACTATGCCAAATTCATGGTACCCCGGAGAAACCTGCAATCCACACCCATAGAGAGTGCTGGGTCTTCAAGCAGGCCGGCAAACTAAATGCCGAACACAAAGGGAGAAACACCAAGTGAAGACGAGGACGAACCTCGCGAGCCGAACACTGGGGGACAGAAAAAATTCCCGCCTAAGGTTAAAACAGTAAACATGATCCACGCGACTCACACATTCATGAGAAGGCAAGAACACACGCTCAGAGACGCGTATGATGTCGAGTCCACCGTACCAACATCTGACTACTGGATGTCTCGTCCGATCACTTTCAATCACATGGACGGCCGAACTAGTATTCGGCGTGGAGAATCACAGGCCTTGGTGCTTGACCCAATAATCGACGGATACCATCTCACCCGTGTCCTCATGGACGGCGGCAGTAGTCTCAATTTAATATATGAGGACACTGTTCGCAGAATGGGGATAAACCCATCCAGAATTAGCCAATGGAAGTAACATTCGGCTCCCTAGGCAACTCCAGAAGCGAAGAACTGCTCTTCACCATCGCACCCTTCCAAAGCAGCTATCATGCATTGCTAGGAAGAACGGCCTCCGCCCGCTTCAATGCATTGCCGCACTATGGCTACCTTACACTCAAGATGCCCGGTCCCCATGGCGTCATCACCGTTAGCGGAATCACAGAGCGCTCTTC